AGACACAGAAACACACAATGTGCTGCCAGTACAGGTCCAGTCCTCCCAGCAGCTAAAACACAAATCAATAGACTCTGATCAGCCTCCGATGGGAAGTTGTTATGACTGTCAAAACACACACACACACACACACACACACACACACACACACAGAAAGCATGGCACACTACATTCACAAGCGTAGATGATGAGGCTGACAGCTTTTTATGAGCGAGTGAGTGTGTGTGTGCGCATTAATTGAAGTTGTGCCTGCAGACACAAAGGAAAATGTCTGTAAACGCTGTCATCGTCCTGTTTATCATCCTTTTATTCCAACTGAATCCTGACTGTCAGCTTATAAAGTGTAAAAACCACAAAATATAAATGAAACAAGGGTATTTGGATGGAGTATTGTTAGTTCTTATCTGTTACACACACTTTAATGTCTGAATTTACTTTATTATTTATTAGATTTTTTTCCCAGGTAATGAGAAATAATGTTCCATAGAGAATATACTGCTAACTGAAGAAAAAGCAAAAATTTAGTTTAAAAGACTGATGCAAACAATTACATGTTTGGTTTGATTCATTTTATCAAATCCAGTCTGGCTAATCTCTGCGTTTATATTCGGTTGGCGTCAGAGATGATGTAAGACTTAAATTTAGTTGTTATTTCGGCACTGATCTCTACAACAGAGGTGGAGGACGCGAAGTCATAATGACTCTCTTCCTAAGTCCCGCCCCTTTTTACTCCATGCTCCAATAGCTGTTGAGCAAGCTTGTGCCTGTGTTTTTATCTTTTAACCATAGACGAGCCTAGCACGTGGCATATGTAAGTACTGGAAGCCAAAATCTTTTTTTTCCCCAGGATAGCGAAGTCATGGCCCATCCTACTCTGCCTCTGATTGGTTTGGTTAGTTATGTTTAGGCATCAAGGCCGAGTCATGTCTTCATGAAAATAATATTGCGTATAGGAAAGGAGAAAGTTGACTGAGGTTCTGACCAAGGCTTGCTCAGTTGTTATTGGAGCATCGAGTACAAAGGAGCCGGTAAAGAATAAGGTTGACGAAATCCCACTTTAAGAAGCAGTCTTGTACAATATGAAGCAAATATCTGATGACATAAAGTTACAGAAAGCCTGCTACACAATCATTAAGGTCGGTAAGACTTTGGTGCGTGTGTGTTTGTATGTTCTAGTTGTGTTTGGCACCAACAGTCTGTCCACACTGTCATGCATTGGGTCAATATATTGATATTTCCACAGAGACTCCACTTACCATCTGCAGGAGTCCCATGACCCTGCAGGCTCAGTCAACACACCGTTACATCACTGCACCCGAAATAGATGTTGGTCAGTCAGTCAGTCAGTCTGTCTGTTTGTCAGTATGTCAACCTCTCCTCACTCACAAAAATGTGTTTAAATACATGATTCTGAAGGTTTCAAATCGAACTTTGACTTTATTTCCACATTATGATATTTGGTGGTTTCATTGTACGTTCTCACACAGCGTCATCATCATCATCCTTTTCTCTCTCCGTCCATCTCCGTGCCCTCCTCCCCTCTGACACCTGCTCACAGCCAAACAGGCAGATGACAGGGAAGCCTCTCGGGGGCTTTTAGGGGCCACGTGCCGACCCTTGTTTCCCCTGGGGGCAGCCCCTCCTCCTACCCTCACTACATTAAGCCCCATTCAAAAGTCATCATCCAGCCTTGTTTAACATTCGATCAGAAGAGGAGTCCAGACGGTCGGGTTTCGCCTCGTAAAACCACGCCGGCTGTCCAGCTGGTCTCCCGGAGGACACTAAAGATACCCACAGTGTCTATCTATCTATCTATCTATCTATCTATCTGTCTGTCTGTCTGTCTGTCTGTCTGTCTGTCTGTCTGTCTATCTATCTATCTATGAAAAAACTAACAAACAGTTAAATCACATAAACTAATCTAAACATTTTATGGTCTCCATGTATACTTGAACACACTTTAATATATTTGTCCTTCCATGTTTAGAAAGAACGTCAGAGGAGTGTACAGTACAGACTACAGTTATTGATTAAAAATACAAAGTACAGTTCATGTACAGTCAGTCAGATAGTCATGTATGACTTTTGACCAGTGCCTGAAATGGGCCGGTGTTTTTAAGTTGTAAAGAAAACCTACAGTCCTGATCCAAAGCTGCAGCTAGTTTTCTCAAAGAACATAATCTGGTGGCTTTATCTGACAATAAAGCTGACTTGACTTGACAATCTGGTGGCATTTTCCACGCTCAGTTCTTCCTTTGCTGTCCAGTTCTGTAAAATGCTTTCTCGTGTTTCTAACAGCTATCAGACCAGATAATCTAGATGGATAATCAGTGTCCCCAGAGTCTGTTTTGGACTTGGCAAACTGTTCACCCTGGACCATTTGAAGTACTTTTTGAAGAGTTTATACCAGGCCTTCAAATATCACATTAAAAGTATGTTTCATTAACAATTTAACGGTTATAAATATTCTTTTAGTGTGATACTGTGAATGTTCTAAATTAATTGTGCTTTTTTATGTGACCATCTGATGTCCAAAGAACAGGAACCACACCCCCTCCACACACACATACACACACACACACACACAGACACACACACACACACACATACACAGGGAAGGACAGAGGGCCCTCTGTGTGTGTATGAATCAAAAAAACCACAGACGACAAGGAAACACAAAACTCCTCAGAGTGACGGTACAGACGCTTTACGTCTGCGTCACAAACCTCTCAGTGTCCACATCGGACTCCGTCACAGCAGAGAACTAACCCAAGGGGTGGACAAAATAACATGAACACCTGACAACGTGATGCAATCTAATACCACAGCCCTGTTGCATGTCTGAGTATCGTCAGTTCACAGTCAAAATAAGGACACTTTCTGTTTTTTTCTATCTATTTGGACTAGTTAACCACTGTTGTCCAAAGAACTCTGGATCAGCTGCCCAGGGGTGAATTATGTCCCCTGAAAATGTTCGATATTAATCTAGTTGATCTTCCTTCATTTGCAGATGACAATCTGTTGTAAATCCTAAAATCATCGACCAGATCAACTGCTGATAAGATGCTTTAACTCCGATTTCTGTATTTCTTAAGACTCAACATACAAATAACTGTACTGGTGGAATAAATCAGCTTTACAACATATAACATGCACTAGGTAACTTTTATAAAATAACTTTCTGTCATATTTGCTGAAATGTTCACTGTTATAAAAGTTGCAGCTTTAAATGTATTAATTTATAAGCGTTTGCTCACAGAGTCCCACAATTAACCTTTCACGCTGATGGCCTTCATTGGAATAAAAACCAGAGACTCTGTGGTTACAGAAAAACCTCCACAGTCAGCTACTTAAAATATCAATTAGTTTCCACCAGACAACCAATTAGCAGGGACAAATTCTCTGGCAGCAAACCATCACTGATCACCAGGCATGGGAACCATCAATAACTACTGACATCAACAATCAATATGAGCAATTCCACGTTGACCGTAATCCGACTTAAACTTGACACATCTGACGTTTGCAATGATGTTGCTAATGAGGCGCCCAGACAGATATCGATAAGATGCTGATGTAAGAATAATCCTGCCAACGAGTTTGTCAATACAAGGGTAGCCTGGGGAGTTTGGCTAATTTCAAACCTTGTTTCAAACGACAGGATGTAGGCGTACATATGACGTCACCTTGGGAGGATGTTTTGACGCCATCTTTCTGGATACGAGCCTAAAATAAAATATATAGCCAAGAGAGTGGAGCCTGGTTGGTGCTGAGGTGGTGCGAGGAAGCAGCAACCACCACGACTGAGCGTGATAAGACAACTGTCAGTCAGCCAAACACAGTCAGTCTTTTATAGACGGTTTCTCTTTCTGCTACTATTACTGTACTGGATGGTACATTGAGCAGCTCATTATTTTAAGAAAATACATCGCTGGAGTGCCATAACAAGAGCCGACAGTATCTCGGTTGCATGGCAGCCGAGAGTCTTTGTTGTTAAACTATAAATTGTCTTCGGACAAGTAAGTAAAGCTGTTAACGTTGAACCCTGCAAGCACCTCGACCATCAAACCAAATGTGTAGCTGTTGAATACACAAAGCATGCTGCAATGATAAACACCCAAATATTACTGCCCAGCACCGTAGTAGATAACCATTTTACTTGTTATATGGACAGAAAAGTGCAGTACTATGTTTTTGCAAACTAAATTGCTTTGTATTTCTAGAAAGCAGTTGGGTGAAAAAGATGTTTCTTTTTCTATTCACTTCAATACAGTTTAAATACTGATGTACATTTTCTTACAGGTACCATCTTGTGGTGATTAGAGGAATTACACCATAAAGCTTTTGTGCCTTGACTTTATAGTTCAGGCATGACTTCTTTTTCTGACTTTAGCTAACCCAGACTGTATAGTCATATGGTGTTATGTTTTTTTTTTTTTTTTTTTACTGTATTTCATTCATGTTATTTTCTATTTCCTGTAAACTGTGCTGATATTATCCTGGGCTCTTGAAAAGAGAATATCCTGATAATATAATATTGGTATGACAAAACTGAGTTGGGCTTGGTTATAGGAGTTCTGTAGCGCAGTACATTTATATATATGATCCGCTATATTTATATCACTTCATATCACTCAGTAAACATAAATTAAACACAATATTTTGTGAATATTGATAATCCTCTCTCAGTGGTGGGAATCACGGTGCAGACGGTGAATCCCACCACTCTTTCCTGTATACGATTTGTGTACATTATCCCCACATTCTCCACTACTACAGCCTGTTGCTAGGCAACCGGGGGTCAAAGGCCACCGAAAGGGGCAGACACTTCTCATTCCTGTCTGCGGCTGGTTGGTGGGGGGAGGACTGTTTGATTATTAAATGACAAACGATTCACACACACACACACACTCACTGCGATACTTTAGAGCTCCGACACCCTGACCTGCTAATGTTTGCTAAAGGCACTACGGTGTGTGTGTATATATATGGACACTTACCTTGTGTGTATTTGGTTTGATGCATCGGATGAAATACGGGTTAGAAGTGCTGAGTGTGGCCATCAGGGAGTGCAAAGAATCCTGCAACAAAACAAACACTTCTGTTACTACTAGCATTACTATTATTACTGCTTTGGCTTCTACTACTACTGCAGCTACTACTGTATTTTTAGCATTGGTGATTTAATTCCAATTTGTTCCATTAACCATTTTACTTAAGTTGACTTTATGTCATTACAAAAACGTAAGGTAATGTAATAATTAATTTGCTTGAGTAAATTCAATTTAAGTGGTAACATTTGTATAAAGAAGATGCATTAATTCAGAAATGCTGAATGAGTGTAACCCAAATGAAATTAGTACAATTAAATCAATTTACCATTATTAAGTTACCATAACAATAAATATTTGGGTTACTTCTACTCAAATCAACATCTTTTTTTATGCTTAAATTGTTGGAGGTAATAAATTTAAACAGTTTAAGGTTTCCTCAAACAATTTGAAATAACTCATCCGGCCTACCACAACTGCGACTACGACTATAACTACTAGTTATTGCTCAGTAATTAAGCAACTAATACAACTTTAATAACTAGTAATCTTAAGACTGATACAAAAAGTATTGCTATAATAGTTACTGCTCCTACCACTGGTGTTAATGCCTATGTTGCTATTACAGTAGCACTGCGGCTAATGCTTCTGTAACTACTACTAGTGACAGAAGTAATTAACCAATAATGTGTATTTCAGTGTGATTTTAATAAAGATCAGAGCTCTGTTGTGTTTGTGCAGTCAGTCGACAGTGTTTGAGGAACACAGTGAACATGCAGTTTATTTGTGACTTACCTTAAACTGGGAGCTGACAGTGGGCCGTCTGTGCTTGGAGCTGCTCTTCAGAGTGTCCTGTTTGTTTCGGCTCAATACGTGTTCAAACAGATCGTAGACAAAGTCCAACCTGACAAAACAAAGGGAAATAGACTCTAAATATTCAATTAAATGAAGCAGAAAACAAACGTGTATGTAGTACAGCACCGCACGAGAGCTTCATACTCTAACAGTGACTGCAGTTTAACCGGTTAATACCCAAGTCAACTGATGTTTCAACCAATATAATATTTGACTTTACAGCAATCATATTAAAGTTATTACAGTACTTCAGTGAAAAAACAGGTTTGTGTGCAAATGTTTGAGTCTCACAAAGAATTAAAACCAGTTTGGGTTATTGCTTGACCAATATAGCTGAAAAAACAGGCTCAGACTGCACATTTTAAACAGATTTTACCAGGCAGGGCTGCAGGATTGTGCACAGAAGAGTATGACAAACTCAAATTGTATCGCACAAGTTCATCTAAACTGGTGCTATTTAAGTTGAGCTTAGCCGGCATTGAGGGGAAGTTAGCTCATGAGTTGAACAAAGGTTTTCAGCTTGACATCTCAGTCTGACTGAGAAAATCTGAAGTGGTGGTCCAGTTCCAGACTCCCCAAATGCCACCCACCTGCTCTCCCTCAGCAGGTTGAGGATGTCGTCTCTGAAAGTGTCCCTGTTCTTCTCCAACATGCCCCTCACATCGTACACCACCTGCAACAGGCCACAAGGGGGCGTCAGTGAGCAAGGACAGGAGAAGCAGCAACTGGGTGTGAGCTCTCCTTTGTGGCTGTTCGGCTTAAATTGATCAGTTTAAAGTAGTTTTTATACAAATTGGTAACAAACAAAGACCAGAAGGAGAACAGGAAGTATTTGTGATGTTTTAAACAATATATTCTCACACACAGCTACTAAAAGAAGCGCGCAGTATCATATATCTTACCTCTCCTGCATAGTGCTTGACTCCAAAGTAGTGCACAGCAACACGTGGTTTCACATAGAAAGAGTTTTTCTGCAGCGAGAGAGAGGAAACAGTTTAATTGCTCCTCTGTAACATCACCAACAGAACCACAGTCACAGAGAGAGAGGAAGGCTTCACTGCTGTAATATCAAAAATTAGGCTTTGCCAACAAAAAAAGGAAGAATCGATTCCTGGAGTTGCCCTTTCACTCTGCCTGTCTCTGGTTTGATTTATTAATGGTCTTTTATTTGATCAGGATCCAGTTTAACGAGGAGCTTCACTAAGAGCACTGCCAGGAGAATATTTAGAGCTCATATTAATTCAAACTAAAGTCGTCTGTGGGTCACATCGTTGTTTAAATCAAGTCAAGCTGTTTGCTCCAGACTGTAAAAGGCTGCTGACCAGAAGCTGCTACGAAGGATCAGGATCCTATTAGCAACAGATGCAAACAACATTAAAAATGTACCCGCAGCAATGACTTTCACTAAAGCATAAAATACAAAATAAACTGTCCTGATTTAATTTGTAAAATGGTTTGATCGAAACCTGTGACAGCGGGATATATAGCATAGTTTGTTATATTAATATTGATTTATAACTGCTAATTATGATGCTACAAATAGTTATATATATGCTCACCTACTAATATTGTAATATCACTATACTAACAATATACTGTAAAATATTCCAGCGTAATTAAATACCCACAATGCAATGTAAATAAGGTATTTTACTGTAATGTAGAAATGTGGTATTGTGCAGTAGGTTGTTATAGCACTGTGCTTCTAAATCTACAGCCACATCTGAGTCAGGGCAGGCTAAAATTAATTCATAAAATCTACATTAATCATCATTTTTAAATAATAAATAAACCCAATTACATCCCGACAGCATCTACAGGTGAGACGCTCTCGAGTCGAATGTTAAAAATGGGTTAAAAAGGTTCTGCAAGGTGAAAAGGTCGTACTGAGTGCTGGCTGTGGAGCTTCTCCAATAAGGTGTCATCTGTGGCTTTGGGGAAGTGACTCTCCTCATTCATCAGTGCCAGGAGACCCAGTTTCTATGGAAACACGGAGAGATCATCATCATCATCATCATCATCATCATCATCATCTCAGTTGTTCTTATCCTCACCACTGCCATCATCACACCTGATTTTGCTCTTTTTATTCTTGACTTAAAGCTCCAGTGTGTAACATTTAGGAGGCAGAAACACAACCTGAGTATAGGAATCATTGTGTTTTTGTAACCTTAAAATGAGACGTTTTTATCACCAGGGGAAGTGAGTCCTCCTTCTACGGAGGCCACCATATTGAACCGGCATGTTTCTCCTACCCGCTGTATTCAAGCTGCAATCTGCCACTTCACCACTAGATGCCACTAAATCCTACACACTGGTGTCTTAATACAATTCTTCTCAACGTACCTTCTCGATCAGATCCAGACACTCTCCGTTGTCCATCCAGTTGATGTCAACCCAAGCCAGGCCTTCCCTGCAGGGAGCAACAACGACAGAGCTCAGAGACAATTTACAACAGCAAATGAAGAAATGGACAGCATTTAAACCTGAAATTACCCAAAAGCAGAATGTTATGTTATGTTTGAGCTATTCCAATGGGTTTTTGGGTAACGTTAGGCCTTTAAAGAATAAAATGAAAGCACAAGGCTACAACTTAACTTAAATGTTACACAGTTCGCCTGTACAGCCCAAAACTTTTAACTCCATTAAAACAATATTTACAGTTGTTTACTGCCTTTTTACAGCTAATAGCATATACGTTAAGTTAGAATTGTTTTAGGCTAATAATTTTGGCTACAGCAATGAGCTGCATTCAGAAATTCAGAGTAACACGATGAAACACAAAAGGACCCATCAGGATAAACAACCTCCACCTACTTGTTGTATTCAAGTTGCTCCAGGGAGAAAATGTGCTTGTTAAAATATTCCTGAAGCTTCTCATTTGCATAGTTGATGTTGAACTGCTCAAAGCGGTTGACCTGTGGGGAACAAAACGAAGCAGACATTAGCTCCAGAAAACACAGACGCAGAGCTAATGAGGTGAAAAACAAAGAATCCCAGAGGTGTGTTTACTGATTTCATGATTAACAATTAAAGTATGATTAAAATACACGGGAAAGGAGAAATAAAAAGGTCATATTGTTGAGTTTAATTGAGCGTGCTTGTGTGAGAGATTGGAATTTAATTTAATTCAGTTAAATTTAATAAACCTTATTTATCCTTGAGAGAATATTACATTCTGACTTCATATCAGTTTTAATTTTCTCAGGTTTAATTATCAGAATTTTTGGTTTTAGTTTGTATTTTCTCAGGTTAATGACGCTAAAGTCTTCCTCAAACACACCTCAAAGTTCTCAAATCCAAAGATGTCCAGGATGCTGATGGACTTGAAGTCTTCTTTGCCCCTGATGCGGTTGTTGAGCTTGCAGGTGATCCAGTTGAAACACTGAGAATAAAGTGCCATGGCCATGGAGTCTCTGGAGTCCACCGCCTGCCGGGGAGCAAGGGAAAAAACAACAACACTTAAGATCACTGGTTTACTGGTTGGTTAGTAAGTAAGTAACAATAAAAGTATCTGCTTTTGTTTTAGTTCATATTTATCACCAGTGTAACTATTACTTTAAGCTGTATCACTCTTTGATGCCACTAGTAGTAAAGTTGCAGATTGCAACCAAATCCAAAACCGCTCGCCTTCCAAGCGTGTGGGAGAAACTATGGCACATGTAAAACTTGTGAAAATGGTAAAGGCCCAATCTAGAGCCAATGTTTGGTTTGTCCCTTCTGGGCTACTGTAGAAACATGGTGTTTTGTATAACCAGGATATAGCCTGTATGTCTGTGTTTGTCTGAAAATGAAAGCAGTGTTTGCTGAGTGTGGAGGTCAGTTTGTAGGTTTCAGACATGGAGTTTACCGACCTGCTCCACAGTGAGTGGCGTGGAGATCTCCTCGCCCCTGAGGATCATGGACCGGTGGGTCAGGACCTCGGCCAGCTGATCTGGGTTCAACCCCAGGAGGTCGGACGTCCGGCTGAGAGCTGCTAATGTGAATGAACACACAAACCTCATCATCAGAGATTTCAGAGACTGAAATCTTCATTTTAAAGCTCAGCAAACATTATTAATATCCTGCTCTCAGTTCTAATCTAATTTATTTATTTAATTAAGCAGGAATGTTCTGATCCTATATGTTTAGGTTTTTTTAGCGTCCTCCTCAGTCCAGTAAATCCTCAGGAGGCAAACACGTGCCAGTGTCACCACTGATCGCCTTTTCAATAATCAATACCTGCTGTCACCACCTTTTCAAGCGTGACCTCTGACTCTTGAATATTAATGACATTTGCATTCGTTCAGTCTGGCGTTAAAGTTAGCCTGGGGGGGCAAATGTTTACGCAAAGGTCCAAGCTGTCACAGAGAATGTCAGTGAAGGCTAACATGTTAGTGTTAGCCTTTAAAGGAACTGTAGACTGTGTGGATGATGGTAATTTGTCATTGTCTTCCAAAGCAACACATTTTGAGCATGATTGTCTGTTTTTTAAAGAATAATTACAAATTAAAAGTTAAAATACAGGATAATAAACCTGAAAATAGAATAAATGCTGTTAAAGATTGAAAGTGAGAGTAAAAATAGAGGACAGAGTTTGGAAAGCGAGGACAAACTCACTGACCTGATTTGGAGGAGACTTGTGCTCCTCCGGCCGTCATGAACTCGATGTTCCCTGCGTGGAGGATCCCGGCCAGGAGGCGCAGGATCTCCCCGATGTTCTCCTCTGTAAACTGCATCGTCCGCATGGAATTCTGGGAACCACAAGAAGAAGCTGATGAAGCCGCAGATTCGTGTTCTCGATGCAGGCGGGCCTCTGGCGGACTCGCCTTGAATTCTTCGCCGGCTGATTTTGTTTCTTTTGGGTCTCAGACTGAAAATATCTGCGAGAGCTGCCGTTGGTTACAATCTGCGTCCAGCAGCTGATCAGTCTTTGGGGGGGGTTTTGGAGGTTTGGACTGACATGAAGTGACGTGCCAGCTGGTTTGGTGTTTGGCAGCAGTGGTTTCACTTTTCAGTCTCCCCAGGATCAAATATTCAAACGTTTTTTTACTCTGATTTATGGTTATGAATACATTAATGAATGAATCCCAACCTGGGGGTCGGGATCCCCCACTAGGGGTTGCCAAAGCTTCCCAGGGGGTTGTGAGCCTCTCTCCATTTTAAGGGGTGTAAGAAAACATATCTCAGCATTTTATCATTTTTGTGAAGAAACTAAAAACATTTTTAAAGTTTAGGTAATTTTTTTAAGATATAAACTTTAAAGACCTGAACAACAAACTATATTCAGAGAGCTTTGAGTCTCTGATACGCAGTTAAAATGAGAGAATGTTCAGAACAACATTGTAAACTTACAAAATCAATGCCTGTATAGACAATTACTTATTTATACTTTCAGCATTAAAGGTCCAGTCTGTAGGATTCAGTGGCATCTAGCTTTGTAGTTGGAGATCACAACAGAGCACTTGTTTCACCCTGAGTGATTTTATGAATGGTATGATATGAATGTACAGGTCAATGCGTACCAGAACATCCTGAAAAGTGCCGTTGTCGTTGATTGTCTTGTCAGGGTGGCAGCTGGACTGTCTCAGGTAATGGTAGCTGTCAGCGTGGGTCAACCCGAACGCGTCTGCAACACAAACACACACACACACACACACACACACACACACACACACACATTCATTCATTCATCAGATTCATACAGAGATTTTATAGCCAAATAATGTCACTACTCATGTTACTGTTAATTACTGTTAATGTTACCATTACAGCTGTAAATTATATTGTTGTCAAACTTACACCGTAAAACATGATAAGTTAATTTTACAAAAAAAAACATTGTAACATCAAATATTTTAAGCTAAACAAACTTAATTTATTAAGTTTGTATTTTTTCTATTTATATTGTAATATTTTTAAAATTTTAAAAATACATTTAATTAATCCTTCTTAGGAAATTTTTTGAACTTACAAAACTAAATTAATGTCACTTAAAATTTCTGGTAAAAGCTGCTTAATGAAGAATGTTTTTAACTTACAAAATTAAAAAATTACAGAGTTTGGGTTACTTAAAACTTTTGATGTAATCTGTTAAATTAACTTATTGTGGTTCTACAGTGTATGTTTTGCATTTAACACGTTGTAGGTTTGGTTCAACTAATGTGGAAAAGACAGAAGAAGTTTAATAATATACTCTTTTTTTTTCTTCATTGTGCATTAAGTTGAGTTGAGTGAGACGGACCTTTCTGCTGGGTGTTGGTTCCTGCTAACAGGGCGTAGAAAATGTGATAGTTCCTCTCCCCCGGGTTCTGTCGGACCACTCGGTTCTGTAGGGAAAGACAAACACTGCTGTTAACAACTCATATCAAAATCAACTCACACAGTCTTAAGGTGGCACGCCAAACAAAATATATCTTTTGTGCCTCTAATCCTCAAATATTTGTAGTTTCATCCTTCAGAGAACAGACGCTGTGATCATTCCATGTCTTTTGCATTACTTCTGCATTACCTCCCTTCAGACTCCAGAAGTTCTGTCTTCAGTCATATTTTTGTGAAACTGATAAGTGTTAGGATCACACATATTGGCAGATTAGAAGAGTAGGCTATTATGCTGAGGTTTTAATACTCTGTTTCTACATTATTAATCATAGTTCACACTGCTCTTGGTGAACACTGTAATAGCATATACGTTCATTTAACCCCAAAATATTGTTGAAACTGATTACATCAAAATCAAAAAGTAACACAAACAAGATTCTTGATTAAGCCACTTTTACAAATAATTTTAAGTGGCACTAACTTAGTTTTGTAAGTTAGGTAGGTAGCTAGGTATTTTGTTTTCACAGTCCAAATAAAAGCGTGACTTTAAAGGCGCTCAGACTGCAAGTGCCGATGTGGTAGGAGGAAGGACACTCACCTTCTCTAAGAGGTCTGTGGTCAGAAAAGCGTCAGTCAAGGCAAAACAACAGTTGGAGACTTTAGGATCCTGCAGTGGTTCTGTAATGCTCTACAGACAACTCAAACAAAGCAAATGTAGCCACGCTAATTTTCCAGCTAGTCAGCCTGCACCCAGGGGTGTCGGACTGGGGGGGACAAAGGGGACTGAGTATACAATGATACTAAAAATGAGTAGCCATGGATTCCAAGATGAACAGAAGGGTTACTGCATGTACTAACTTCCACTTGCAGATTGGAAATGGATTGGGCTTTTTATGACTGATACCATCATAAAATGCTAAACACAAAAAATATTGTGCAGCAAAATGTTGTTTACTTTGTACTGTTACAGTTTATTTTCTAGTGATAATAAATAAGCAGCAAAATAATATAGTAATTATTTGTCCATCATGGCCTGTGATCCTCATAAAGGATTCACAGTTCTCATAGAAAATGAATGGAAGGCAGCAGCTCGGCACGTCTTTACCCCTTAAAAGCAGCTCTGCCAACTTCAAGTACTTCCTTCCTGTATATTAAGCCTGGGGCAGGAAATACACAGAGGAAACAAAGTGGCGTCCACTAAACACTGCGTGGGTTTTAAAGGATACAGTCAACAATTCTGCCTCCCTGGATGTTGCCCTTCTGGCTGAAATGCAGCTGGACAAACTTCCCAAAGCGGCTGGAGTTGTTGTTGTAGACGGTCTTGGCGTTTCCAAAGGCCTCCATGATGGGACTGTAGAGTGAGGAAGACGCAGGGTCATCAGACAGACAGGGGTTCTGTGGCAATTAAACTGTTACCATCTAAAGTATGAAGTAAACCATGAATGATTACCTGCTCTCCAGAAGCGCCTCCTCCACGTGTGACGTCCTGTCTCTGGACGATACCTCCAGGGAGTGCTGGCTCATGCACGACAGGAACTTCAGGATCAGCTTGGTGCTTTCTGTTTTCCCAGCGCCGCTCTCTCCGCTGAGGGGGAACAAAACACACAATTTGGTGAGACTTCTGCCACTGAGCAAGGCACTGGCCTCCTTATATCTCATGGGGCAGAGGGAAATAATCTCCCACCAGTGGTAATGGGAATCACAATATAATAGTGTTATTGAAAATAAGAATATTTAAATTATCCTTATTATTATTACAAATGTATTAGTATTTTCTGTAATAGTAGCAAATGTTGTAGCAGTAGCCATAAGAGCAGTAATACTATTGGTGGTAATAACAGCAATAATAGAAAAGTACCAGTGGCAGTTCTTGTGGTAGCAGTATGAGCAGCGGTATTATAACACAGTTATTATCTGTTTCAAATGCTTAGGATATAAACTGATGCAATAAATAAAGTTATAAATGTTCAAAAGTGCTTGAGTATAACTTCAAAAATCAACATCTTATGATTTTCATGTTTTAGAATTCATTCATGTTTGAGCTCTGGTTTTTAGATGATTTTTGTCCAGCAGCTTTTTAGGCGTTAAATTGGAGCAGAGAAAATGTGACACACGTCTAACCTCAGTTTGAAAACTGCGTGTGGGTCTTAATTGAAGGTGAGGCTGTGTGTCTGCCTGCAGGTTGTAAACTCACTACAACAAACTGGGCCACACATGCAGCTGAAGGAATCATGGGAAATGTTCAGAGTAAATATTTCCAAACTCCACCACTAGATGGCGCACCTGCTAAGCAGCACTGTGCCGACTGATTCCTGCCTATGAATGACATCCAGCATTCAGCAGCACACAAACAGGCCTGAGGATCAGACATCGATCAATATGAGGGGAAAACCTTTGTCTGATTGAGAGCAGTGAGGATGGAAACAGTGTACAGATGTGTTGCAGAGAACAGGAGGAACAATAGATTGTGAAGGCAAAGAAACAAGTGTTTTCTCCAGAACAACATTGTGTTTGTGAGCTTTGTCAAGCACCTGAAGGTACGGAAGCCCTAAGAGGGAAGACAGAGGATTTCTGGTGATCCGTTTTCTAAGCCTGATTTCTGTCTGTATTTATGACTAAGGTGGAAAAAAAGTAATAATAAGATATTTTTTTTAAGCTACTATTTTTTCCTCTATGAGAACACGTGAAAAAAATGTTACAGCAGGGGAAATGTTTTCTTTATTCAGGGAGTATTAAAACAAACACAAAAACCTTTAGGATAAAATAAAAATGAAGGAACTTAGAAAGATTATCTTCCTGCTGTTCTTAAGTCATAAACAACTGGGAGAAAATAATAGTCTTTCCGAATAACAGCCATTAACCACAACACTGAATATTTACATAGCAAAAAAAACCCTAAAATCACCCACCAACACTTCAGTTCCATCACATTTTCCCCTGCAGTAACAGATAACAGTGTGAGGCTCGAGGGAACCCCGCACACATACTGACATTAAACATGAACCCGGCAACCCGCAGTCGCTCAGCGTGATGTTCAGGCTGGTTGCGTTAATTATTAACCTGTAAACCCATTACACCGACACCGAGAGCAGCTCAACAGCAGCAGATTAGTCCCCAAAAGACACATTAATCAACACAAACAGGACTCTTCACAGCAGAGGTGTCCAAAACACACAGAGACCTTTAGGGGACGTGCTGGTGGCCATAAACAACAACAACTGTTGACTTTGTTTGCATGAACACACATGACAGATATAAGTTTTATTCCGCTTATCACAAATCATATCGTTTACATTACTTTTAGTTGAGGACAGACTCTTTAAAATAAATCCACATGTTCGACTACATTAATGTAACTCATGGAAAACAGACCAGACATGGTTTCCTTATTGTCGAGAACTGAATACATGTTAGGAAAATACATCCAACCCTCTTAAAAGCATGTTTTAGTTAATGGTGACAAGTGATGCAAAGTTTTGTTTTGTTTTAAAGTCCTCTATATGTTAGCTTTTTTTCAAATGAGCGCTGCTGTAAACGTTTTATGACAGTAGGTGTGATTCATTTTAGGAAGTAAACTTTTCATTTGGATAATGGCTGGGTGGCTCCCCAAAGGGCAATCACAGCGAGGTTTTATTCACAGATGAAGTACTGTAAAGGGGAAAAAAGAAAGTGAAAGCTTCCAGTGTGCTTGCTGTAAAGAGGCATCAAAGTAGAACAAAGAGAGGCAGACAGGGGAAGGGGAGGAAGCTGACTGTTTGATTGACAGGTGACGCCTGAGAGGCACACAGTGAAAACATCACGAGTGCTTTCAGAAAGAACGGGAGGAACAATTTTTACAAAACAGAACCTCGCAGATGATGTTGACTTTAGGTGATATTAACATACACGAGCTAACAGGGACCAGACCTCTGCAGACCAGAGAAAACTGATAAAACACAGAAATCCTGAAGGTTTAAATTGATTTTTGCACTGAAAGTCACCAACCGAATCAAAATATAAACTATTTTGATACTTTTGAAGTCTTTTTTTTTGTAAGCAAAAATGTCAATTGTGGCAATTCGCTGCTTTTCTTTGTCTTCTGTGATACTAAACAGAATATTTGGGGGTTTTAGACTGTTGGTCAAACAAAACAAGCAATGTGAACACATCAACTCAGTCTCTGAGAAATTGTGAGGGACATTTTATAGACTTAACTTGATATATTAATCAACTAGTCATTGCTAGGCTCATTATTAAAGAATCTAAAAATCACATTAGGAAGGAAAAAAAGCTTCCCCTCATTGGGTGAACCCGACACAGGTAAAGGTTAATGTGGAGCACAGCTGTCTTTCATCAACAACCCCATAATAAAAGTACAGATTATTGATAGACAAGAGCACCGCATATGGACGGACTACATCACAACATAAGCTCCCGCTGGGACATTGTGGTGGTTTAAAAGGGCCTATGGTACATACCACACAGTCCCAACACTGTGGAAGACATCCACAGTCTTTCCCTTATCTCTCCTGTCTCTCACCACGGGAAACTAATCTCATAATGAAGAAATGTTCTTTGTTTTCTTTGCAGTTGAGTGAGAGATTTTAACCTTTTTATGTCCTACAGCAAGCTGGAGATCATTAGATGCAAATAAAAAAATATTTCCTATAGGGCAGCAGGTAAAATCTAACAGGGGCAGGTTAGATTTCTATCATAGTGGAGATAAGACACAATGATAAAACCAGTAAAATGACTTATAAATGATTTTTCATAGACTTTCTCTTAGACTTTCAATGAAAAAACAAGTATATAAACCATATATAACCAATTTTACAACTTATAACTGTTCTATAATAATATTTTAAGTGATTGTGACTAAAGATTTGTACATTGTCACAGACACCTTTGTTTTTTATTGTATTTTTAAGTTCCTGGCAGCTTTATACTTTGTTAAATTGAGTCAGACTGGGTTTGTGCTGAAAAAAAGTGAAATAATGCATGCTGGGTGAGGACTGTTTAAAAGATGTCAAACAAAGACAAAAACGAATGCATATAAGTTAGGGTTGTACAAATGTTTAGTTGCAAAATCAATGAACCTGAATCTTGTAAAGCCATGTCAAGGTTTACATTTGATGTACAGTATGTGTAATATGTGCTGAAAACTGCATCTAAAAAGGGAAATACATTCATCCTCATTATTTGTCTTTAGGACAACACTTTGGGGAACCTAGCTTGCTTTGTTATAAATACAGTTAAAAGTTGAATGTCATGCCTCGGCCGTGTAGCGTGATCGCTCGTATCTCTTGAGTCAGTGGCACATTCCTGACGGACAGAAAACAGGACCGGGGATAATGTAAACTCTCAGGGTGTCTGGCTATGGCTCGAGATGTGACCACGCTGCACATGTGGACAGATGTTATGACAAGACAAGCTGTGGTTTAGCTCCTCCGCATGGAAACATGAAGTCAAATATGGTTCAGGTCATTAGCTTTTCTGAAAGCTGCAGTTTGTAACATTTTTAAACATCAACATGTCATTGCCATTTTAATTTTGACACCTTGGAATAATTAGCATTAACAACCAAGAACATGGAGGAAGTTACTGGTAGCTTTTGTCTTACACCAGTGGAACGGTTCGTGCTGTTGTTTCTTCACATTGAGACCACATTTCTGCTGCTTTCATCCCTCAGTAAATGAGATAAATCAACAAAAAGTCCGAAAGCTTAAGCTCCATTTGTCCTGGGAGAACTACGCTCTTTGTAAGAAATGGAGCCTTTCAGCTTTTTAAAAGATGTTTGTTTGCCCCCTAGTGGCCACAACTTGATTGCTGCTGCTTTAAAGTTTGCAAAACAAACAAAACTAAGCTTGGATTTTAAGCCAGTCAGTCAGATGTCACTAGCAATCTAATGATTAATGCAGATTGATGTTTTGTTACACATTAGCTAACTTAAGCTGTAACCGGTATATCGCTTTTATCTTATATCCATCTTCAAAATGTTATTAAAGACGAGCCTAGCAAATAGCATATCTAAGTACAGTTTGCTCAACTGTTATCGGAGCACAGAGCAAAAAGGGGTGGGACTTAGAAAGGAGATAGCAAGGAAAGACTTCTATAGAGTTATATCGAGTTCTTGGGCTCCAGCATTTGGGGGTCTTCATTAGAAACAGTAAATTCAAACACAACTACAGATCGGCTCTTTCCAACTGTGGGTCAAACTTTCTTAAAGGGATTGGATCTCACTTTAAAGGGCTTGGTGTGTGTAACTCATTTAAATAGCTTAGACTATAGCGACAGCCAAATCTGAAAGGGCCTGCTAAATGTAACTCATTTAAAAGACCTCTGGCTGCATGCCAACTGATCCAAACTGGGACACACACATACAACCAAACAGCGCCCTGCCTTTGTACTAATCCCTGGCTCTCCACATGCTGTTGCCACCCAAGGTAAAACCCCCCACAGGCAGGAAGGAGGGAGTCTTCAGCGGAGCGACTGAGCGTGTTGGACAAACTGCCCTCACAGCTCTGGACCTCACCCAGGCCTTTTGTACCAAGGAGCAGAGCTGCAGACTGTGTTAAAGAGTGAAAGAGTTTCTACAGGGAGGAGAAA